GAACAGAGTTCTGCTTTGGTAACAAGTTGTGAGCAAATGGGTAATTGCTGCTCTGGAACGATACATATGAATGTTTGTTTCCTACTTAAGGCTTCATGTCTAGGAAATGCAGATTGGTGCTCAGGTTAGAGGGAAGCATGGTTGGGAAGAGCAGCTCATAACTCTGAATAGCAACTGGGTGGATGCTGCATCCCGTGGGGAAGAATCACTTGATTCATGAGCAGTAAAACACAACAATTAAAGATCAGGATTTGCATGTTGTTGGCATTAGAAGGAGAATTGTGAAGAAGTTAGCCTTGCTTGAGCTATGACACCACCAGCAGATGTCTGCCAGGCTGTAAGTGCAAAGAGCATGTGCTTTGTCTGTCTCTAGTGATTGCAGCCTGTCAAAGTGAGTAACTGCTGGGGATAGAGAAAGCAAGACACAGAAATGGACTGAGATGTCTAGAGACAACACAGTGTTCTGAAGTTGGGGTCATGATGCTGCTCTTCTCAATGTTTTAGCACCAGAATCTGGTTTAAAATCCTGCTTTGCAGGTGGTTGAAGACTCCAGGAATATTGAAAGGGAAAGGAGGAGAATGGCCAAATACCCATTTTGTTGTGTTTCCAGGAAGGACAATGTGTAGAAGATCTCTGAGGTGAAATGGCCAGGTAAGTGGAGCAGCAAGTTTTGTGTTGGGTGTAATGTTTCAGCCTTACTGTTCTTTCCTGTCTGTGTTGAGCTGTAGTTTGCCTAAGTCCATGGCTCAGAGTGAGAACTAAAATATGGCCTTTTGGAAGGCTCAGGATTCTGAAAATAGGTCTCTTGCTCAGACATGTAATTTAGGGTGGGATTCACCTACTGACTCAAGCTATTAAAGTATTAGCACCCAGTCCAAACCCATCAGTAAGAGCCTTCTGAAGACATCTACTCCTAAAGCCTGAGATGTACTGCTCAGGAAGGTGCCTGGCTCTCACTGTTGGCTACAGGACACTTCATCTGTGTAGTTAAAATGAGAAATGAAGCTTCCAGATAACAAAGGTGAGTGCACATTGCACACCTGGGTGCCAGGACCTCTGCACCTGCAACAGTCTGTCCACTCGTGACATGGATGTTGGAGCATCTTACAGAGGGATGGTACAGCTTCCTCCCCACACTGAATCCTGTGAAGTTTTCATCTGGACAGCCTCCAACACGGTGAGGTGGAACACACTGCAGAGTTGCCCAGGCTGGTGGAGGCCCAAGGTAAAGAGTCCATGGGGCACCTCTGCACCCTGTGCATGGCTGGGGGCTGATGGGGTCTGCAGCACACTCAGGGGAGTCTAAACACCAGCCCTAAGGGCCCAGCAAAGGTGCAGATGCAACTTACAGGGAACCTGCAAGAGACCCAGAGAGGGACTGGGGACAAGGGCCTGGAGTGCCAGGACAAGGGGCAGTGGCTTCCCACTGCCAGAGGGCAGGGTTAGATGGGATATTAGGAAGAAATACTGGGCTGTGAGGGTGGGCAGGCCCTGGCACAGGGTGCCCAGAGCAGCTGGGGCTGCCCCTGCATCCCTGGCAGTGCCCAAGGCCAGGCTGGACAGGGCTTGGAGCAGCCTGGGACAGTGGGAGGTGTCCCTGCCTGTGGTAGAGGGTGGGATGAGATTCTCTGCATATGAACATTGAATGGCAGTTTATGAGCTAGATCTGAACTGTTAACTCCTGTACAGTTTGCAAATGGTCCCATGAACACAGGGCCTGGTGTGCCTCACTGTGCTCTCATAGCACCACGTTCTGCCCTGACCTGGCTGTGCTGTGTGGAACCCTGGGTGATGGACTGAGCTGCACCTGCCTGCAGGAGGGACTGAAATAATTCATTCAGATCTTCTAGAAAGTTTTATTATCATGTCAGACAAAATTAGGAGTTCCTCAAGGAAACAAATGCATACAGTGAATTGGAAAAGGAGAGGCAGAATCCCCAGGGAGGCACTCACTCTTTAGAGGAGCATTGAGCTTTTAGTGGAGGTTATATGCTGTGATTGTCAAAAAAAAAATTACTTGAGCCATATCTGTTGTTCAGAGATGCTTTGGAAATCTGGTTTTACAGAAAAATCTGGGGTTTTAACAGATTTAAATAATTACCTTCAAAAAATTTTGTGGAAGGGTCTTTTCAAAATTTTTCTAGAAAACTGGCAGACTAATTTTGAAATGGATAGTATTTTAAATTAAAGAGAGCTTTGGGCTGGTTTTCACATCTGTTGTTTGGATTGTATTTTCCCACATGCTACAGCATTGAATTATTTTGGGTTTTTTTTCAGTTTTAGTAAAACACAAACCGAGGCACATCGTGATCCAAAGGAAGGCTGTCAGCAGTGCTCTGCTGACAGTGCCCTTCCAACTCCATTTATACATCCTGAAAAGGTGTGGAAATAATATAAAAGCGAAAGTCTCTGATCAAAACTCATCATTATATAAATTCAGATATGTAAAAATAATTTGTTCTCTGGAAGACAGCTGATGCACAGAAAAGAACCAATCTGTAGGATTGAGGTAATTTATCCATGGGTTTGTAGGAGCCAATGTCTTTTGAATAAAGTATACACTCAAGTCATTCTGTTCCATGAAAATTCACTTATGCTTAATGTTTATGGCCAGTCACATCCTCAGATTCCCAAATATCATTGCAGAAATGTCATTCCCCAGCCAAGGCTCATGTGGCCAACAGGTGGGTTTTCTGTCCTGCTGTCTGGGAAGTGCCCCAAAGCCAAGGGCTGCTTCAGCTTTTCCTTTTGCTTAATAACCACAGACCCCATAAATATCTTCCACATGGATTTTAGTTCAAAGTAGCTTTCCTTCAGTGTTTTTTTCCTTCTTTTTTTTTTTAGTAAAATAACACTTGTATAACAGCCAAATTCCTTCACCCAGTTACTCTCCAACTTTATTACAATATTATACCCAGGGATCACCTATATTACCATAGCATCTGAGATTTTTGTTTGTAAGGAAAACAAGGATTTCCAAGGAAGAAATGCAGGTTTGAGCTTGTATGCTTTCTGTACACCAGATTTTTGTGCTGTAGGGTGTATGCCTTGCACTGCCTGCACTTCTCTAATTGCATGGAAATAACACAGAGTTAGATTTTCAGTGCTGGAACAGAGAGAGGCACCTCTTCTTCTTACAGGTGCCTGGGAAAATAGTTTATATGACTTTGAAGGTGCAGTGTGTCAGTCAGTAGAATTTATTACAGAACCACAGGATCGCCTGAATGGGAAGGGACCCACAGGAATCATCAGTGCAGCCCCTGTCCCTGCACAGCCACCCCAAGAACCCCACCCTGAGCAGCCCTGGGAGCTCCTGGAGCTCTGGCAGCCTTGGCACCATTCCCTGGGGAGCCTGGGCAGTGCCCAACTCCCCTGTTTTTATCTTTTTTGAGGCTGTATAGATGGGTTTCAGTTTGCCAAGCAAGACACCCCAGGTTTCCTGATGTGGGACACATGGAACTTCACCTCCCTCCCATTCTGGTCTCCTGAATACAGCTGGTACAGAATAAAACTACTCCTGGTGGTGCCCAGTGACTTTGTCCAGAGTCTGCTACTTCCTCGTGTTCTAGAAATCTCTTGTTCCTTGCCCCTGGTGAGTTTGTGTTGCTCTCTACCAAAGCCCTGCTGGCATTCTCTGGTTCCATGGGTGTCACCAGCTCTCAGGGCTGGCACAGGTAGGCTGCTGTTCCCCCCTGAGCAGCAGATAAACACTGGTGTCAGTGTTTCCCCAGTGGCAGATTATTGAAAACACGGGCGGGGTTGGGATGGTGCCATCCCAAAGGCATAGCCTGGGACAGTGGGCCCCTCACCAGCTGAGCCATCCCATAAATCTGCTTCATTTACTTTTCTGCAATTTCCACCCTGATAAAGGTGTTCAGGTGCCTCTCCTGTGCCTGTGTGCAGTGCTGAAGATGGATTGTCCTTGCTGCCTTTGGGTTTTCCCCATCAATAACAATGCCTTCCCTCTATACCAGACCACAAAGAGATTTTCAGAAGCATCTGAATTATTTTTTCCCCTTGTTTTATCCTGTTAGAAGGGCACAATGATGACAGCCCAGTTTTGAGGCTGCTGGACTCAAAGGTCTCCCTTGCTGTATTTTTCACAAGGACAAGGCTATGTATGGACTCCAGCATGACACTTGACCTTACTAGCACCAAAATAATTCCTGCTGATTTCCAAAATCAAAACATCTCACCAGATAGTAAGAGATGTTACCAACACTTTCAAGGCCAGGTTGATCAGGGCTTGGAGCAACCTGGTTTAGTGGATGGTGTCCCTGCCCATGGGAGATGAGCTTTAAGTTCCTTTCCAATGCAGCCATTCTGGGATTGATAAAGCACAGGACTTGCAGCTCCTGGGGTGAGTTGTACAGGTGGGATTGGCTTCACCAGCTCTAGATTTATTACTGAGATATAATATTCATTTTTTTTCAGTAATAATTTTTTCTTTGTTGCAGTGAGCTCCAGGATGTGCTGTTGAAGTTGTTTTAGTATGACTTGCAGTTTCTGGGGCAGGGGATAAGGTGGTCTGGTCTGCAGCAACCAGAGCCCAGTGATGGGAGTGGCTGCCCAGAGGCTCATCCTGCAGCCCCAGCACTCACTCAAGGGCCTTTGCTGTGGATGTTGCATCCTGCCTTTTGTTGTAGGGTTAATTGTGTGCTGTAATATCCAGAGCTCACTAATGAGAGGAGAGTGGATGTGAAAGTGGGGCTCGTCTCTGCTGCCTGTGCTGGTGTCTGTGCTGGTTGGCCTGAACCCATCCAGTTAGGGATATTTTAATTACTGTGTTGGAGCAGTCTGGAGCACTGGAGGTGTCTGTCCAGCTTTGTCTGCGGGGTGTGGGTATCTTGCACAGGACAGGGTGCTCGGGTCCTTGTCCAGAGCTGGGGCTGCCTGGAGCCTCCCCGGGGTTCACCAGCATCTCCCAGGGGAGCTTGGGTGCCTGAGCTCACTCCTGCTATAGAGGAGCAACCACAAAGCCCTTCAGAGCCAGTGATGCTGAACCAGCGTGTGATGTATCAAGGTGATCATAAATGATATGGGAAGGAGGCAGGGATGTCTGGGGAAGCTGCAGAGATTCATTTGAAGTGTGGTTATTTTGGGTTTGTGAATGATGTGAGTGCTCCTTGAAGAGCAGTTGGGCTGTAATGTTTAAGAAGGTTTTAATTAACCTCACCAAGGAGAAAGGGTGCAAAAGGCCAAAGTTAGCAGCAGTGTCTCAAGCTTATGTTGCCCAGGATTCTAATTATGTGAAGGCTTTTGTAAGTTAAAAGAAGACAATTTTTGTGCAAAAGCTGGTTTATGATATTTAATAGTTCCTGCTTTTCATTTGGCAAAACTGGAATGAATATTTCTTCTAAATTAGAAAATTTTTTACAACCTCTGACTTCAGCTGGAAAGAATTCTGCACAGAAAATGTTTTATGTACAGTTGGAGAACAGTTCAGTGATGTGTGTGGGGGTCTGAGCTGTGTTACAATTCCCATTTCTATGTCAGGAAAGATCAAGAAGGAGAAAGAGAGACAAATTTTGAGAGACAAATTAATTCACTGACATGATTTGTTGATATAAAAGGCTTTTGTGTAGAAGGCTGCCCTGAGAAGCCTGGATTTTAAGGCTGTAATTGGAATTTGAGCTTGGTGACAGATCCTTAGCTGGGAAGATCAACACAGTTGCAATTGGGCCTGGTTAATTAGTTCTCTGTAATAAAACAGGTGTAAAAACAGGTGTACAGCTGGGCCTTCCTTCCCTCCAGCCAGTGGATCCCACTGTCCCTGAGAGTGCAACAGCTCAGCCGTCCTGTCTGTAACCTGACAGCTGGGAAATCCAGTTATGTCCAACTTGGATTTTAAGCTCTAGACAAAAAATCATTTAATCTTAGTTTTTATATCAGAACCCAGTAGTAAAATAAAAAGCATTGATTAAAAAAATAATCTCTATAATAAGGAAAACAAAAGCTTCTGGAGCACAGCCTGGCCTCCAGGGAAGAGCTGCTGGCCAGAGGGTTCAGTGTTATGTCCCATCCCTACTGCATTCCCACCAAATCCAGTCTGCTGACACCTGCTCACCTCCCTCACTTTCAAAAACAGGTGAGCTTGGAAAAATGGGAGTTATAAATCCTTCAAACCCAGCCATTTAAGAGAGGGCAGTGAGCTCCCAGCTGTGTCCTCAGGCGCAGGGAGGAGCTGGCTCCCTGCCCCAGTGGCAGAGCCATGCTCTTTGGGTGCCTGCTGGGAATCCCACAGCCTGCAAAGGGTAAGAGAGGGTTTTCCCACTTTTTGTGCCAAGTAAGGCCTTTATCTTGCAGAGCATCCACATGCGACACTCACAATGTCAGCGTTTAGCACCAAGATGCCATTTCTGGGAGCAGGAATGCTGGTACCTACACCTGGCAGATGTTATAGTGAACTCCCGTCTGATCCAACAGGGTTTCCTCAGTCATTTCAATCCCTTTGTCTTTGGGATGCAGGTGTGAGGTCTCTGCAGAAAGAAACTTGTCTGTGTTGCTCACTGGGTTTTGCTGCAAAAATCAGAGCAGAGTTTTGATTTCTGGAGTGAGCAGGTGCCTTGTGCCTGTCCTGCCCCGTCCCACGCCCCCCTGCCCTCCCACCACGCTGCACGTACCGGGGGGGGCTTTGGGGCAAAGTCCTTCTGGCAGACGTGCGCTATGATGCCGGCAGCCAGCGCATCCCCGAGCACGTTGGTCATCGTGCGCAGCCGGTCCCTGCGGGGAGACAGCGCCAGGATGCAGGGGGTGCCCACTGCCAGGGTGCCCGGGGTGTTGATGGCCCTGGGACACATCAGCCCCCGTCCTGAATGTCCCTCCCACTGGTGTTGCCAAGTGCTGTGTTGGTTTTGGAGATGCAGAGAGAAGATGGTCCCTATGTGAGCCCCATGCTGGGGCAGCATCTGTGTGACCCTGCCTGTGCGAGCAGTGCAGGGACCTGCCAGTGCCACCTCCCAAACTGGGACAGGCACTGTTGTGCTAAGTGCAGGGAGAGCTGCCTCAGCAAGTCATAAAACTCCTTGAGATGCTTCTCGAGGAGAAATCCTGTTGATCCAGCTACTGATCGTCTCTTGTCTACCCAGGCACCTCTCACATTAGTAGAAGGTGCCAGCAGTGCTGGGTACCCTATGGTGCTGAAAGGTTAAACTGCTGGTGTGTTAACCTTCCTTTGTTGGAGGAAAGAGAAAAGGGGGAGGGAAAGAGAAAAGCAGCCTTGATACTTGGCACTGTTCCCTCTTTTCCCTGGGGGCATGGAAAGTACAAACCAGCCACCCACATGTCACTTCCCTAACTCAGCATCTGCTCTGTGGTTTCTCACCTAATGACTCACGGTGTTTTTATCTGAGTACTTTAGAATGGCACATTTCACAAGGTGTGAGTTTATTTGTCTGTGACAAGTGTAATCCAGCATCAGTTTGTGTCTTGAGAGCAGTCTGGTTTCATCCATCAAGATGAAGATACAGCACCATGAATTGACACGGGGCACTGCCCACAGCAGTGGCCTGGAGAGCACTTACAGAGCCCAGTCGACGGCGATGATGAGGGTGATGTCCTCGGTGGGCAGCCCCACGGAGGTGAGCACGATGACCATAGTGACGAGCCCGGACTGTGGGATCCCAGCGGCCCCAATGCTGGCTGCTGAGGCCGTGATGCTGCAAAGAGAAGGTGGCTGTGCAACTCAGACTGGCGTGTTTGCATGGCAGAGTAAGTTCTTGCTGTGGGGAAGGACTGGATTGGATCTGACTTCCTCCACCTTCCTGCTCCCAGGTGCTATCACTAATTCCTCTGTGCACAGCAGGGGCTGGCAGCCGGTGCCCTGGCTCTGTGCTCCCCCCTGCCTTCAGGGTAGGGACTTCCTCATTAAAATTACTAAATATTTGCAAACGTACTTAATTATTATTTACTTACATGCTTTATTTCCCTGACTATAAAATGAGAATATCCCACTCCTGAGAGGGAGTATATGACACCTGCACACATCCTTCTGTGCTCAGCCCTGCAGTGCTGACCTGCTCCAGCCACATGTCTGTGCACCTAGGCTTTTCCCTACAGGCAAAGTCCTTGACTTGCAGCACTTTCAGGGGCGCAGAGCCAGCCCAGCTTTCCCTGGCACACAGCACAGGGACTGGGAGATGCTGCTCCCCCCCTGCTGCTCAGCTCCCCAGCAAAGGTCGCTCTGCATTAACCAGATCTCTGCAAACAGGAAAAATGCAAGAGGCTGTCCTAATGTCCATAAATAGGAATAGAGAGAAATAATCTAGCTGCTGCAGAGAAACTTGTACCTGATAGTTATAATTTGTCCCAGGTCCAGTTCATACTCGTTGACCTGGGCGATGAAGATGGCAGCGACGGCCTCGTAGAGCGCGGTGCCGTCCATGTTGATGGTGGCCCCCACGGGGAGCACGAAGCGCGCCACGCGTCTGTCGATGCCATTGTTCTCCAGGAGACACTTGAGGGTGATGGGCAGCGTGGCTGAGCTGCAGGACAAGAAATGAGCAGGAATTGCTGTTTGTATTGAGCTTTGTAAGTCAGAGTCAGTGTGATGGGACAGAAATACCAGCCCTCCTGGGGGTGGATGCCACAATGTCACACAAATTGCTGCAGCAATGAAAATCTCTTCAGCTCTCACCACCCGGGGAAACAGAAGACATTATCAGCAAAGTGAGCTGCAGGCTGAGAGAGAAAATGTCAGAATGTCATTTCAGTGGCTGAAGGCACCACTTTAACCACCTGTGTGCCATGGGTGCAGCTCTCTTGACCATCCCTGGTGCCCACGTTAATCCTGCAGCACCTCCTGGAGCGTGAGACAGTGAGTGCCAGCACTGGCTGGGTTGGGGTCCAGCCAGACCCCCATCACCCTCACCTGTCTCCTCCATGAGGGATGCCTGCCTCAGCTTCTGCAACTCTGACCTCTCTCTCTTCTTTCTGTCTAGCATGAAGATGACAACTGTCCCACAGGAAATGGGATAAGGAATGGAGGAAGAACAGGTTCAAGAAAGGAAACCACAGAAAAGAAGTCCATGGATTACAACAGACTCTGGGAGGCGGGGACTGCATTTGGGAAGGGCTCTGGGTACAGAGCAATGGCCCCAGCCCACAGACCATGGGGCTGGGACACGGAGCAGGGTGTTCTCTCTGTGGCTGGTCTCCCTCCCTTAGCTGGCTGCAGAGCAGAGGCAGGAGAAACCTGAAGGAGACAGAGCTGGAGATCCAGGTTCAGGATGAGACCAGGTATTAAGAATTGCAGAAGCAACAGTTGCAGCAGTGGGCCTTGGGGAAGGGAGGCACAGTCGAGGTGGTTTTATTGGGATTATGTGGAGAAGCAATAGAGAGGCCATAAAAACCCTTTGCCTGGTCAAATGTGCTCCAGGAAAATGTTTGGATTTGTGTCTCCTGGAAAGGATGCTAATTTATAGTGTGAAGTTTTTTTCATTGTTCTAAGGAATGTATTTCAATGAAAATAGAATAGGTAAATATAATCTAAAATGATTAAAATCTTTTCAAAGTAGGTAAGATTTTTCTGTGGATGAACTTGGGATACACTGTACTTGATTTTAGATTGTCAGTAAAGTGTTCAGAAGAGCTTTTGGTGTTTTCAATTAAACTCCAGGATCACAACCCCATGCAGTTTATAACGCACTTATGACAGTCCTAGTTTGAATAATGGAAAGAAAACTGCAAGAATGGAATGAAGTGTGCACACACACACAAAAACATTGCTGGTTTGTCCTGGGAAAACCCTGGGAGAGGGTGAGTGGAAGAGCACCAGGAGCTGCCCAGGTTGGCTGATCCGGGCAGGGCTGAGCTTCCTCCTAAAAGCAGGAGCATTCCCATTTCAAACAGTGCTGGAGCATAATTTTCTTTTGAGTTACACCTGTCCCCCCAGAGCTCACCTGGCCAGACACAGCCACGTCTCCCTGGCTAAACCACATCCCTGCTCTGCAGTATCCACACGTTCCAGCCACGTTTTCCTACCTGGAGGATGTAGCTAAGGCGATCAGCAAGGCTTGCAGTATCCCCTGAATGAAAGCAAAGGGGTTTTTCTTGGTGATGAGCACAAAAAGCAGAGGTAAGAGGATGATTCCATGCACGGCAAGCCCTGACACTACTGTAATGACATACAGTCCCAGCTTCTGTCCAATAACCGATGGATCTTCCATCTCCAAGATCTTTCCAGCTATGAGAAATACAATGCCAAAGGGGAAGTACCTGCAAAGAAGAAGCATAAAAAATTATGAGGATGCAGCAATCACTATAGCACTGCAGATAGACATGGCAGTGTTTGGTACTGTGCAGTACAGTTGTACAAAAACAAATTCAGTGCTCACAACAGACACTTGCAGACGTGTGACTGGCACTGCCATTAGATAGAAGGAAAGAAAATCAATCAGTCAATGAATCAATCAAAACCAGATTTACCAAACAGCCATCGAGACAATTTTCATAACTGCTTCATTCAGACACTGGCACACGTTCACCAGGGGGGCTCCTCGCTCGCCCATTTTCCCCAGGAGAAGTCCTGCAAGCAAGCACAGCACGTTACTTCACTTGGGAGCAGCACAGAGCAGCACCTGACAGGCCAAGTGTCTTGAGGGTCTGGTGGCCACAGAATGGGGGTCACCAGGCAAAACCTGATTTAGTCCCATTGCCATGTGCTCTTACAAGTCAGAGCCGTTCTCTGTCCCAAGCAAACACAATCATCTGGCCTTTTTTCACAAAGCCCCACCAGACCCAAATCCAGGATTTGGACTCTTCCTTGCACAGAAAACAGATAAACTTCACTGCTGCTCAATGCTGGAAGAGTCATTTCCTGAGGTGGATAAACTGTGGATTAGCTGGATTTGTGGATATCTGGATTGCTATTTGGTAATACAAGAATAATGACCTCTGGAAATAAAAAGGGATTTCTTTTAAGGATAAGGTGTGGTAGGGCTCTCTGTAGCTGAGGATGTGATGCTGTCCTGCATCCCTGCCCTGCTGTGGAGTGAAAGGGGCCCCAGCAGTGCTCAGGCTCCGTGCCTGGTTCCCTCCTGGGCTGGTCTGTTTGTTGTTGATGGCTCACAGGCTGTGCCATGGTGGTGACAACACACGTGGTGTACAGTGTGATGTCAGGAAGGATCTGAGTGAGTTGCTTAGATACAGGCATTAAGCCTTCTCTCCTAAATCTGTTTTTTTCCTTTGATGTTGCATTAACCTAATCCAGTCTAATTTTCTGTTGAAGGAATACTAGAGCAGAAATACAGGCTATGGTTTGAATGTTTGGAGAGGATATGGTGCTGTCCTGTCTGCCAGTGCTAAACCCCATTGCTTTTACTGGCTGGGAGGCTTTCCAGGAACCCATCAAGCAAAGGGAAAAGGAACCTTTGAGCATTTGCCCATCTTGTTTCCAGCTTGGGGCAAGTCCTTCTTCCTGTGTTGGCTAAAATTAATTTTGAAGCACTGTGCAGGTGTCTGTTTTATCTTGGAAAAGAAGAATATAGACAGGATCTTGTCCTGCTTATCCTTCCTCAGTCTTCAGGTTGAGGACTCCAAGAAGCCCTTGGTTGGTGGTTGGATCTCTTGCCTTGCTCAAAAGAAGATGTGAGGTGGCATTTGCCAGAAATGAGACAAGGCTTGGCATGTTTAAATCTCAGTATTTGGTAGCCACAACAGCTGCTTTGGAAGAAATTTCTCTTCAGGTTCTGCAGAGGGACACATGGCCTGAGTAATCAGACAGATAAGGATCTCGAAAGCTCTGCCCCCTCATGGATTTCAAAAGCAACAGAGAGGCCCTCAGTGACAGTGAAGAACTGTCAGAGCTGGGGTAGCTGTGTGGGGTCACCCCTCACAGCAAAGTCACTCTGGGTACCTGGTGGATGCCTTGGTCTGAGCCCCACCAGCTGCCTAGTTTTGGTGTTGGACACAAATACTTTGCTGAGAGCTCAACCAGCTTCCACCTGTCCCCCACTGTGCTGCGTGGAGGTGATCCCTATTCCCAAGGCATGGGGCTGTGCCTGTCCCTCTCCTGTTTTCTGCCAGGCAAACTCAGTTCAGCCTCTCCTCATAAGGAAAGCCCCCTGTGGATGTATGAATGCCCTTTATCGAGCTGCCTGTGCCTGGTGCAGGTGATGCTGTGCCAGTCTGTGGCTTTGTGGAGCTCTAATCCTGGGCAAAACATGGGAAGTGCAGGTGGTGGCTGAGGCTGGCTCAGGTGATCCCCCACTGCCTCCTAACTCTGGCTGATCCCACTCCCACGCTGGAGGGGTTGTGGAGTGTCATCTTAGAAGAGAAAAGCAGCTTCTCCTTGCAGGTTTGGCCGGGCTGGAGGGGGCACGTGTCCTGTGGGCAGGAGCTCAGCAGCTTTCCTGGGTGTCCAATGTGTGCAAAGGCTGTTGGTTGCTGGGACAGGAGGTTGCCAGAGACACCTTCTGGCTGTAGGGATCGGTCAGTGGCTCTGGCTCTGCCCAGTTTCATTGTGGCCACCTCCTCTGAGGTCTCACATTTGGAGCTGGCTGCTCCCCGAGGCTCTGACTGCAGTGCAGTGCACTCCGGTGCTGTGCTGGCTGTGCTGCCTCCACACCTCAAATCCTCTAATTGGCTTTTTGGTTCCTTATACACAAAGTTCAAGCTCTTTGCCCTCACCTCCTAATCTACACATAATCCTACCACCATGCTCATCTCACTGCCTCCTACTCTTTTTCCTTTCTGATCCCTCCTTCCTCCCTTTCTCCCTCAGCCTTGCACCTGTGTCCTCTTACCCTTTGAGGCAGCTTCAATTCCTCCTTTCAATGACTTTCTCCCCTTTAAACCTCCTCTCTTACACGTGTCTCTCCACAACCCCTGCCCCTTCTTCCTTCCCAAAATTGCTGCCAAGCACCTTTTCCACACAGGACTGCAAGCTGTTCAATGCAGGATGCTGCCTTTTCCTCCATCAGAAAGTCCTGTTGGGAATCCTCATAACAGCCCCACATCTGACCCCGCTGTGACATCCTGCCTGCTCAGGGGCTGAACACTCAGCATGAAGAGTTTGGGGCTTTGTGGTGAGCTGTGTCCCAGGCAGCCTCTGCAAAATTACACCTCACTTCAGACTTCATTAAAAGGAATCCCCAGCTGATGTAACTGTTTGAAAACCCTCAGGACCTGCATGTGTGCTGTGAGGGATAAAACCAGCCTTCCCCATGCCTCCAGCTTCAGTGAGCTCCAGCACAGGTGCTGCTGGCAGGGCCTTGGGACGAGCTCTGTGCTGGGCCCAGTTCCCAGGGGCTGGGGCAGTTGAAGCTAAAAGAACCTTGTGCCACATCTTTCTCTCTGTAAAGCGTGGTGATGCAGCAGTGGCACCCTGGGCTGCCCTGGCCGTGGAGGAGCAGGTACCTATGGTTGCTGAGAAGATGACAATGCCCAGGACATTCATCTCATTGCTGGTCCCAGCCAGGGTCCTGTAGGTCATCTCGGGTGATGGTGTCAGCTCAAGGAACACAGGCCGGTGGATTTCAGGGTTTTTGTCATCAGGTGCAAAGTAAATAAAATTGACAGGTTTTCCTGGGATCTTTGGAAAACCAGGAGATTTCACCACCGGGACAAGAACAGTTCGGTACTGGAAGAGAAGCAAAGGAGGGAGGTCAGTGTGTGCTGGCATGAGCTCTGTCCTGCTCTCAGCACGGAGGCCAAGCCAGCCCTGGGCTGGTGCTCCTGGAGGTCAAGGTTCGGTTTCCAGGCACTGAAAGGCTGGTGGGAACAAGGACTGAGAGTCGGGCAGGGGGAGCTGTGGCTGTTGGCTGCAGACCATCCTCAGCTAAGGCTGCAGAGCAGACTCGTGGTGTTGGTGATGCCAGCACAGCGCTGGGGTCTCTCTGTCCCTCCATCCCTCCTCCCAGGAGCTTTACTGATGCTTTCCCAATGCCAGGAGTTTGTTTTCCCTGTCCCTCCAGCTATCCCCTTTGACCACTCTACCTTCCTTCAGGGGTCCCTTCTCTGTGTCCCCTTCCCTGCCTGTGCCCACCCCATGGCCGCCCCTCCCCTGCACAGGAGCAGGATCTGAGGGGTTTGTGCTGCTTCCTTGGAGAGCCAGGCAGGCAGAGGGCAGGCACAGGGGGCCCTGTGAGCTTGTGCCCCCTGGCACCCTCCCACCTTCAGGGGCCCGTCCTGTGTGAGTGTGGGGGGGATGCAGAGGAAGGGAAGGGGAAGTTCAGGGAGGGGAAGGGGCTCCAGTCCAGGCTGTGGGTGGGCAGAGAGGCAGCCCCGTGTGGAGCTGAGCACCAGAGGGGTCAGGGGAACTCACCTGCTGGAACGAAGCTTCAACCAGGTTAGAAGGAAACATGTTTCTGTAAGAGACCAATGACACAGGTGAAAGTGTTATGAGAGCACAGGGAGCATCCTGGGAAGCACTTCTGGTGGGCACAATGTCCAGAGGAGGACATGAAAGCCAACAACAGCTTATGACAGCCGTGCAAGCTGAGAGCAAAGAAAGGCTGGAAGGTGAATGCAAAGCAGGACTGAGAGTAAATGGGTTTGGTGGAGAGCCTGAGCCTGGGATGGACAAATGCCATCTGCAGCCCCCTGCTCAGAGCCTGGTCCAGTACCTCCAGAAATGGAGATTCTCCCCC